TGTGTGTGTGTGTGTGTGTGTGTGTGTGTGTGTGTGTGAGAGAGAGAGAGAGAGAGAGAGAGAGAGACAGACAGACAGACAGACAGACAGACAGAGACAGAGAGACAAATTGAGACAGAGAGACAGTGACAGAGAGGCAGAGAGAGACAGAGAAAGAGAGGAGGAAAGAAGGAAGGAAGGAAGGAAGGAAGGAAGGAAGGAAGGAAGGAAGGAAGGAAGGAAGGGAGAAAACGGGACTTCTGGAAGATGGTGGAGTCATGATCAGATGAGAAACAGCCTCTCCAAGATTTGGTGTCCAAACACTAAAATATAGCAACAGGAAGAGGAGAAAAAGGAGGGTACAAGGGATGAAGGAAAGATTTGAAGTGAGAATTGAAACCCACAGGAAGAGCAAAGAGAAAGACCTTAATACAGAAGAAAGAAGTGTCAGGCTGTGCTTTCTCTCTGAGCTGGGACTCACTGGGGAAAGAGCCAGGTCAAACCTGCAGGCTCATAGTGACTACTGGTGACCCCCGAGGCCTCCACGGAGAAATACACCAGTGAATGGAGCAGTACAGACAGAAGACTGTGGTAGCTGGTGAGTTTTTGGGGACTTAGAGCTCCCCCAGGAAAAGGCGATTGCCCGGAAGCTGTCTCAGACAGAGGCCCACTGAGCTCAGAACGCAGGGCAGCTGTGGCCTGGCTCCACCTAGCCACTCTCAGTGTCAGGGTGAGGCTGCTTAGTTCAGGCTGGCAGACTGAATAAATCTGGTTCTAGCCAGAAATCAGTCTAAACTTCAGTGGACCTAAAGGTATAGGTTGCTGGCATTATCCACTATCCCACTGTAAATCTACTGCTAAATTGTTGGAATTAATCGACTCAAATCTGGACTCTTGTCTGCCCACTCAGTCTACTAATAACAGACAAGCAGAGATATACATGGAAGTGGACATTGTTTTCTTCCTTTTTGTGTGTGTGTGTGTGTGTGTGTGTGTGTGTGTGTGTGTGTGTGTGGTTTTGTTTTGTTGTTGCTGCTGCTGTTGTTTTTAGAGGCTATGGTCAAATTTTATTTTTTTAAAGAAAAAATAGTAAAAAAAAAATTAAAAATGATACAGAATTTCACTAAAGAAAATGATGGGAATTCAACAATGGTTGTTACATTGCATATTTGTTTTTATGTACATGTGAATGTTGGTTTTAGTTTTCTTGTCATTCTGCTTTGTTAATTTATTTTTTCTTTCCCTGCTGTCTTCTTTGCTAGTTTCCCATCGTTCACCGAGTCTGCCTTCGTCCTCCAGCCTTGCTTCTGACCTCTCCATCTTCTTCTATTTATTTTTCCCCCAACCCATTTTAAATTTTCTCCTCTGAGGGTAAATTGTTATACTGAGCTCATATTTACTCTATACAATTTTCTGGTTCACTTTAGATTTTATTATATATCCAAAAATCTATTTCTTACATATGTAGGATAGTTTGGATAATGGTACTGCTATTTTCTGCTGGGCTATTAAAAGAAGCAGTTAATGCTTATTTTTTTATTTTTTAAATTTAATTTCTTATAACATTTTTACCAATTGTGCAGGTTTATGGTAACTTAACTAATCTGAAGATAACAGTATGCAATACAGCAACCATTGTCAAATTCCTATTACTTTGTTTAATGAAATTTTGTATCATTTCTAATTTTTTTTACCATTTTGTATTCTTTAAAAAAGAATAAAATAAATTTAGTTCATACAGTTTAGGGTGGCAAATTAATAGCTACCTCAGTTTGTCATTTTCTAGGCTGTGCTTGATGCTGCCACTGTTGCCAATTGCAGTACTTTAGTTAACATGACATGACTGTCTAATCAGCTGTTCTTCCTGGTACACCAAGACTGAGATTAATAAGGGTCATAGGAAATACTGTGGGCCAGTGCTGAAGAACCAGGGCTGGGCCAAGCAGGCAGCACCTTCTCATCCCCAAAGAGCTGAAGAGGTAACATCTTACAACAGACTCAAAACTCAAAGCCAGTTATAATACCGGAAAACATCTCCAAGTAGTCATTTCTTAAGGATTTTAAATACTAGCAATAAAGTTACCTGCCATAGGCTATTGACAAGAATCAATCCAGGAATTAAACTTAAATAAAAAATAAAGACAATAAAATGAAACAACACTTTAGCAAGATACAATCCCAGACTCCAGCTCACCAAAGACAAACTCTGGGAGTAGTAAAATGGGACAATCCAAAAGCCCCCCACCTGACCTCTCTGGAGTGGTAACAGTAAAAGTAACAAAATAAATGATTGTAACAACCAATGAATTAATAAAGCAGTGTTTTTTATACAGTGGAGTACGACTCTGCCATTAAGATTAAGTTTCAGACATTTCTAGGTAAATGCAGGCACCTTAATAGCATGTTCTTAAGTGAAATAAATTGGACACATGTATTCAAGTATCATATAGTTTCTCTAGTGTGAGAAACCAAACATGTAAATAAGGACCAAAATGCATGATAGGTATTGGGAAATGAGAAGAAAATGTTCACATGAGAAAGGGAGTCTTTCAGGTCCTCCTTTCCAAGATGACGAAAAAAAAAAAAAAGAAGGAACAACAGTCATGCCAAAAAGGGCCACGGTCAAGAGCAGCCAATTCGCTGCATGAACTGCACCCAGTGCATTCCCAAGGATAAGGCCATTAAGACGTTTGTCATTCAGAACATAATGGAGGCCACCAGAGGTGGGTTGGGTTAATTCAGCTTATCCAAGTTTAAGTTGGCATTCTGAAAATGAATAAAGAGGAACAAACTGGAAGTGGTGGGCAGGGAGAAGGGGGAAAAAGAAAGGGGAAGGAAATAAGGGACAAGAAAAAAATGGAAACAAAGCTTTTGTAAATAGAGAGGAAGAGGGGTTGAAATGAGGGGAGGCAAATGGGAAAAAAGAAAAAAAAAGAAAAACCTTCAGCAAACTATTTAATTTCCAAATAATTCTAAAGGATTTTTACTCTTTATGTTAGAGTAGTGGCTCTAATATAATTAAAACATTCAAATTTTTTAAATTTATAGGTACCTCTAGAATTTTTCTTTGTAACAGTATCCACCTACCTCCTAAATAATAAATTGACTGCTTCCATAAACTACTAAGATTAGAACTGCTCGAGGTAAAGACTGAGGAGAGGAAGTTCCCCAACAGCGAAGCAGAGCCCAGGAACCAGTGCTCAGCTTTCTCCTTGCAGGCACTGGCTGACCTTGACCACTGATTGCTAGACAGACAAGGGGCAATAGACAAACCTGAAGGGCTGCCCAAGCTGGGAGTCTATGGCCCACCTGTTGGAATGGGAAAACACAAAGGGGTATATTCTATGTGCAAATGTAAGGAGAATTCCTCCCTCTTCAAGCACCAATGTGAGAAAGCTAATAGCTTGTGTCAAACCTTGGTGCTAAGTGACAGGAAAACATAACTTTCTGTAGAGAGCCTATACCGCGAATCGCGGCATCAGAACCAAATCCCTAGAGACCACTGGGTGAGGCCTGCTGCAACCCTCGGAGCCTG